GGTGAAGGTTGGTAACGCGGTTCAGTTTGAACAGGTCTGGCTTGGCCAACAACCCTGCAGTAGATTTCAGCAGAGAACGCTTTAAAACATTAACAGATTAGTAGCAATTTCTTGATTTTGCCTGGAGGGCTGCGCTCTCAAAGCAGGAGAGGTCAGGGACCCACTCTGGCACATCTAGAATGAACCCTGATCTCCATGGGCTCAGGGATGCTGGCCCTAGTTGAGCTTCATCAAGTAACATCCCACCCAAAGCAGCACTGCATGCCACACGTCAGTGCCACCTTCCTGTAAAAGTTTCCATATCCTGGACCTAGCTGTTTTATACACAGGTGAAATGAAAACTGGTCAGTACCTTGCAAAATAATCTCACTAGTGCTGCTGTGTGGTAAGTGCCAGATAGCAAATCACACTCCTGTACAGTTCCTTAAACTAGGATAAAAATGCACAAATTAAAAGCACTCTACAGGCCTCTCACCTGCTGTAATGAGACACTTGGTTTTGTGGGGTTTAGTTTAAAAACATGATCCAATTGCTTTCTTCTCCCCAAAACATGATATAAAGCTATATGCAAATTCAGCAAGAACTTAATGCACTTACACTTATTGAAAAAAAATCACACGCTGCAAACAGGTTCTGCGTTGAAGATCTTTAAGTCTAGGGCAAGAGGTTCTTACCAAACCTTTGGCTGTACCTCGATATCAGGGTGCAGGTGACAGCCACCACGACGATGCCACGTTCCTGCAGACTCCCTCTACACAACTTGCTTTCCCTCTGCAGGATCACAGGGACAGGGACGCTGGCCAAGCTAATGCCCTGTCCCAGCTCCGAGAGCCACCAGCACAAGCTCCTCAGGAGACCCACTGGCCCAGGGAAGAGGACTCGGGATTAGGTCCTGCTCATACCTCTAAGCAGAAGGACTTACAACCAGCTGGTAACACCTTGCTGCAAATGATGCTGTTCTACCAGATAGTAAAAATGCCATTTATTAAAAGTAGAAAAATGGGGCTTTTACTTTGGATGAGATACTATCCCATGCACACTGCTTTTGGAAAGCTGCCACTGAAGTTGAGATCACCGCGAACCTCCACGCTGGTTCCACAGGCAGCATCTGCTGACGGAGCTCCAATACATTCACCTGGTGCAACGCTTATGGAAGCGACTTTCAACGCATGTTACAGACTCAGCCTCACCAAAATAACTGTCCCAACTCCAAAGGATTCCAGTAACCACCTCAGTACTTCTTGTCTTTGGGGGATTGGTCTTCACAGCCAAGTTTGTTGTTGTGAGAGTGAGGGGAATAAACGGGGGCCAAGGTTCTGGGCCACACACAGGCTGCGAGCAGCCAAGGAGATGCAATTAGCAGGAGGTTTAGGAGCTCCACGAAGGGAACCTTGAGCCTTCCTAGAACAGCAGTTATTAATGAACGTACTAGGAAGAGCTCAAGTTAATTTTCCAGGAAACGGTGCAGAAGGGGAAGAGGAAGCCCCCTGCCACTGCCCCCAAGGACAGGGAAGAACGGCAGATTCTTTGGGCTGTCCCTAAGGCGACAAGTTTATTAGAAGAATCACGCTAGCTCTGTCTCACAGGTCACGACCAAGCAAGGCCCAAGCTGCAAGTGGCCAACAGCATTTTACCCCAAAATACCATCCTTTAAATGAACCGCCCTTGTGAACAGAGTATAAATATGAAGCCCTGAGAACAAACTTCCATATAGTACATTTCTATTAAAAATATCAAAGCTTTGATGACAAAAATTATAAGTTACATTTTATTTAATAAATAGCTAGCTAGCTTTCAAGAGTCATGTAATATCAAAAGGTAGAAGATTGTCCATATCAACCCACGGGACAGTCAGAAGAACTGCAGGAAATAGATACTGCATCGGATAAGTCACCTACCACGTCACTCCCTCACTTCTTGATTTCATGGGGCTTCCAAAGGTTTCCTTGACCATGTCAGGAGACACCCAACTGTGACATGTCTTTGCTCTTCATAAGTCGAACAGATACAAGCACAGGATGCAAATGGCAAATCCTTATTCCTATGAGGAGTTTTTCCTCACAGAGCTTAGGGACCTCTCACTGCCTTCCAAACCAGAGCCACAACATGTGCACCCTTCAGACACAGTTTGTCCCCAGGCAGTGGCCTCGCTACCCCCTCCTTGCACCTGGAGACCTGTCTCTGCACGTGCCAACTCAAACAGTGATTTTTGAGGGAGTGGGGAGAAAACATAATACTTTTGCAAGCACAAAGACTTAATCCCTCAACCATGATGAAGTAGCAATACCCAGGTGCCATGGGAGACACAACTCCATAGCCTAGCACTAATTCATACCCAAAAGACAACACCAGTGTCATCAATTCCTTGAATACTAATTTAACCTAGAGGGGAGTTTGTTTTAAACAAACTCCTAGTCCTTGCTGGGAACATCACACCTTGTTAAGTTCTGGCCTTTTTCCACTACTGAAAACTTAGGTTCTCAGACAAGCAAGACTTTGCTAAAACCAAGAAACAAACTTTGGCAAATCAGAAGCTGCGCAGCTTTTGAGCTCTGGAAGGAAAGCCAGAAATAACGATATTCTCAAGCTTTCAAGTATTTTAAAGATGCAGTATGCCTTTAATCCAAAAGGTTTCTAACTGCAGTTGCAGCATTTGGTTATGTCAGTGAGGCTGGGCATTCCTACCTCCATCTGTTATGTGATTACACTCTCCTGATGCTTCTTTCTGGTTTTATTAGAAGTATCTGTGGCACCGCTCCTGCTTTGGCATGCAGAGGGACACAGCTCTGATAACTCTTATCATCCTGCTCAAAACCAGCACTGAGGATGATGCACAGGTTAGTAATGGGCACTGGCAGCATCGCTCTGAGCTGTCCCTTTGCTGTGGGGTTAATGCAGAGATGCACAAGAAGCAGAACTTCCCTCTTCACCACTCTGCTCCTCCGAAGCTGGTGGGACCCTCTACACGGGGAATCCACCCAGCTCCAGCCAGATGAGGAGCTGGTTCAAGTTACCACCATCCCTGCTCTCCTCTTAGCACAGGTGAGGCCGGTTGCTTGTTCTTGCCAGATCACAGCCAGGTTCTGTCTTGAGCAAACCAGAGAACAAACTTTTAGATGAGTCTAAAATTGCAAGATGATCCGTGGCTGGTCAGCCTGGAAGTTCTTTACATCCACTCAAGATGTAAAGATCCAATCAAGGATCACTGAAATAACAGAGGCATGGAAATGGTCTTTGGAGAAGGGAAAAGCTCATTAAAGGCTCATTAAAGGCCATGACTGCTACCAAAGTATCTGTTCAGCAAGTCTGAAGCTGCACTTGTTTACACAAAAGCCAGAAAATATTTCAGATTAGTTTTTCCTTTCTCACCTTCATCTTCTAGAATAAAGATCCAATCAAGGATCACTGAAATAACAGAGGCATGGAAATGGTCTTTGGAGAAGGGAAAAGCTCATTAAAGGCTCATTAAAGGCCATGACTGCTACCAAAGTATCTGTTCAGCAAGTCTGAAGCTGCACTTGTTTACACAAAAGCCAGAAAATATTTCAGATTAGTTTTTCCTTTCTCACCTTCATCTTCTAGAAAGAATCACTACAGGAATAGTGACAGTTTACCCTGATT